CTCACCAGTCTTTCTTTGACCCCTGACAGGGCTCCTGTGGCTCCTGCTGGGCCTTTAGCTCTGCCGGGGCCCTTGAGGGGCAGTTGGCCAAGCAGACCGGGCAGCTCGTTGACCTCAGTCCTCAGAACCTGGTGGACTGTGTTACAGAGAACGACGGCTGTGGAGGAGGCTACATGACCAATGCCTTCCAGTATGTGAATGAAAATGGAGGTATTGACTCTGAAGCGGCCTACCCATATGTTGGACAGGTGAGCAACCCACTCTGCCAAACACACAACTAAACTTGAAGTAGCTTATTAATCTGAGCCTTTCACTTCAGTTCATTTCATGTAGTGAGTGCCACATTCTCTATAAACTAAGCACTTATATTTTAATATCACTGGGTGCTTGAACACATAAAGGCAAGATGGACCAAAACAGTCAAGCGGGGGTTTTTAAAGTAATAAACAAGTATAATTTAGTTGGTGTTTGTTGTTTTTTAAATGAGTGATTGCCCCACCTCTTCCAGTACTTAAGATAAGCTCGAAGTTGTTCTGGTAACACACTCTTACAAACAAGCTTTGCACAAAAAGTCTTTTAACCTAGTTGTTATAAATAATACCCAGTAATCAGCTGTTAGCTGCAGATGCATAGATGGTGAAGAGGTTCTCACTTGGCTGTGAGGGTGTCACGTTTGTCCCCTTCACACGTTTCACCAACAACATGCAACGAGGAAGAAAATATTTCATTTTGACAGTAAAGTAGCTGCAAACATCTTACTTATTTTGATTATTAATTTATACTACAATTATTTATTTGTTTTTATTGTCGGTTAATCAGTAATAACCATTGGATTAAAATCAGTGTTGGTCAAGTTACTTTGAAAAAATAATTTATTATAGTTACTAGTTACTTCTTCAAAAAAGTAACTGAGTTACAAGATTCTAAAAGTAATTAATTACTTGAAAAATAACTATTGCGTTACTTTAAAAAAAATGTTTAACCCTCTGGGCTCCAGTGTATAATTGGCCATTTTTAACTACTTTTGATTTTACCTCTACATTTAACCTTTTAAAACTATGTACTTTGCCTTGTTTGGTATCATTCTTTTCAGCACAACCTCACGTTTCTGAATTTACAGTTATGCTTTCATTTTGACATAAAATTTATCTAAATCAGACAAAAAACATAAAATCCGAGTAGAAAAAGTTATAGTTTTTAACAATCGCAAACATGTTTATTGAATCATATTTCATAACTTTAAATGCAAATATAAATTGTCAATTTTAATGTTATATGCACAAATCTTTTCAAACAACAAAGTTATTTGCAGCTATTTACATTTTACCCTCTTTTTTAATAACAATTTCAAACTATTTATATAACAATCAGGTGTTCTGCATTCA